ACGGCTTGCTATTGCGTGCTGCATGTCACTGCAGGTTTAGAGCTCGCAGTGGACAGCTCCTTGGTCGGGCAGGGTTTAGGGTTTAGGGTACCTTTTTTGGGGTACTTTTATCCCCATAATCTAGGGCCTTAACAAGTAGAATAGGGTTCCGGGGCCCATTATACTATAATGATAATGAGGAGCCGCCAAAATAGTATTGCTAATTATTGAGGCCCCCTACATAATAATCCATAAGGTTAGCCTTTACTTCCCCTAGGATCCTGAACTAGTAAGGCTTTGCGTTGCGCTTCTTCAGCACTGGCGACATGGAGGCTGCAGTGATGAATTGGAACATTGTGCAAGCCACATTGCGACAGACTTCGTGCAAACTCAGCGACTTCCTGGTACTCCTAGCTTCGTCCTGCATGGGGGCGGTAATCATATTTGCATATCAGATCGTGTCCCTGACTCTATCCGGCGACAGAGTGGCCGTGGAGAACATCATCAAGTGGACAGGGTGGTTGTACTCTCCCCTGATTCTGTTTCTCTACGTTCTGTCGACTGCAGCAGCCGTCACGGAGAAGGTCGATCGCTTGGCACCTCTTGTGAACTCCTGGTCATTCGATGGTCGGGAGACCCTGGACGAATCGCGACAGTATGTGGTGTCGTACATCTTGCATAGCCATGCAGGTTTCTATGCTCGAGGTATCCGCATTACATCAGCGAACGTGCAGAAGCTTGTCTACTACTTCGCCGCAGGGTCGTTCGGCCTCCTCACGAACCTATGGCAAAGATAGCCTCAGTGGCCTTTATAACGACTTGTTTTCTCCGTCGCATGTCTTCTCCGACCTTCTCCCTTTTCTGATGCTTGCCGCGAGGTTGAGGGCCGGGTCCGTTAAATGGACCCAGGTGGTTGGGCTGCCTACATCAAGTCCTTGACAGCATTACCCGAGCCACGTGCACCGCTGGCAAACCTGCTGGTTCGCCTTTTGCATAGCTGTACGTTTATGATGTAATACAGGTGCCTGATTATGGTTGTTCTAGAGTATACCATCGTATCCTATTCTAGTCATGTTTATTCTTGTCTTGTTCCTACTGTTAGTATTCTTGTAAACCCTAAACCCTAAACCCTAAGCCCTAAACCCTAAACCCTTAAACCTAAACCCTAAACACTGCACCCTTTATTGGCTGCTTGGCTTGTGTCACCTTAAGTCAGGATCGAGGCCCTGCACTGCAAAGCAGGAGGGGCCTCCGGTAGGCCCAAAACCATGCCCAGAAGACTTAGCACTTCGGAAGAAAGGGTTTAGGGTTTAGGGTTTAGACCCAACACTTCGGAAGAAAGGAATGTACTTAGTTCCCCAATACTCAACCTCTAAACTTGTGGGGTTCTTATAATTTAGTGGTAGTCTGAAAGTTTAACCGTTTATTTTCCTGGCTTATTGGGGAAGTAAAGGAATATGCCTCGAGTTCGGATATTGGGCTGTAAGGTCTATTCCTAAGGGGGCAAGCTAAGTTTTATGGGGCTGAAGATTAAGTTGTTAGGGTTCAGGGGTTTAGGGTTTATGTTCATTACTAGGCTGGTCTTTGGTACATTTTTTTGTTTTCCTTATTTGGGTTTCTGAGGGACTCTCTGTATAGATATTTTTCAAAGGGTTTAAAGGCCAGCCCCTAAACCCTAAACCCTAAACCCTAAACCCAGCCCAGATTAACTAAGTGGTGTTGGGCCCACTGGATGCAGAGCGTGAGCCTTGGCAAAAGGCCAATGACAAAGCTTGTTTAAGCCAGAAGCCCGAAGAGTTACCAATAGGGTTTAGGGGTTTATGGGGGTTTATGGTGGTTTATGGGGGTTTAGGGGTTTAGGGTTTAGGGTTCAGGGTTTAGGGTCTAGGGTACTCGTCCTTAGGCTTCTTGAACTTAAGAGTGCAGTAATATAACCTCCCCAAAATCCTATTCCAATCATCACGGGGCGCCTAGAAGAACCCCCCAAGATGTCCAAAAGAGAGCGGAAAGGAGGTTCTTGTCAAGGAATTGAAATCAAGCTACCACAACACGTCCACATAATAGTTTGAAAAAAGGCCCCCAAATATGGTAACGTAAAGATATACAAAGTCCTGAGCAACAACCCAGCAAATGATTCTTGCTTCGATGACAGGGGGCTTCCCAGTCCACGTGAGCAACATGAAAGGACTAACTTGTCCTATGCTTCCGGGAGCCTAAGAACCCAAAACACCCAAGCATACTGTAGGGGCATTCATAATTGCACTAGGGTTCTGGGGGTACATTACTCTGTAATTATAATAAGGAGCCCCCGCAAAACAGTATAGCTAAGTACTTAGGCCGCTATATTACTGTAACGAGGATTACCAGCGGGAGAGATGTTGGCGTGTACCCTAAATCCTAAACGTTATACCCTAAACCCTAAGCCTTGTTTGACCATACGACAAGGCTCCTGGAAGCCTAGGGCGCGGCCGTGTAGGGTGCTGAACCCGGTGCCGGCCCGCTTACCCTGTCCTTTCAATATATTTCAATTTTCCGCGGAGAGCCCACCACCCCTTAATTAACGCTTATACCTGAAGTTATAAGGGCCTTGATATTATGAGGTATATTCCTCAGTTAAGGGGTATTGGGCTCTCTGTGCTTGTCCTCCGAATGAAGCCGGGCGCAGACCTAGCCAGGTAAGCGGTCAAAAACACTCAAGTTAATGATGCAAGTGGTCCGCTGTTTCGTTTTGGATCAGATTTGCAATTGGCGTCCGGGGGAGATAAACCCTGACCCCTAACCACCTCGTATTGCGTAGGGCGCGAAGGTCTCTCCAAGAAGCAACAAGCATCGCATGATTTTATCCCCTAAACTCCCTAAACCCTAAGCCCTAAGCCCCTAAGCCCCTAAACCCCTAAACCCCAAGCCACTAA